GAGGGAGGGAGAGAGAGAGAGAGAGAGAGAGAGAGAGAGAGAGAGAGAGAGAGAACTTCGAATTCTTTGAGAATGTCTGCAGATAGAAGTCAAATTGAACAGGATCACTCTAGGAAGCTACCTTCCTAGATCCTGTTATCCCACAGTTCTTCCTTCTGAGTGATTAGGTAGCACCTGAAGCTGTGACTTAATGAGTTTTTATGTGAGGTAAGGAACTGAGCTGGAGCAAATAACTGTGAGTCCATTCATTCCAATGTTAAATCCCAAAGAAGAAATGCTTGGTTTTGCTCCTCATTGTGCACTTGCAAAACGAAGTCATAGCAAGATTGTACAAGTGCATTGCCCTGTCATTCTAGAGTAATAATAACATAGGAATGACATTATATATGCCTATTCTAGAAAGACTAAAAATGTAAATGGAAAAACTTAAACACCCACTGATGATGCTACTAGGATTATCACCTTCCTTCTGTCCTTATCTCCTACGCAGTTAGAAATTCAACATATGTAACAAATTTGTAATACTATTGGATATTGATTTTTTCTCTCATTTAGCACTATGGAATGAGCACATCCTTCAGTTTAAAAACTAGATGGGATTTCCATTATTATATTTCCCTGTCATGCCAATGTATCACGACATAATCTCATTCCTTTACAGATGACTAGCTTAGGCATTTACTTTATATAAGAAAGATTATACTGCAAATAAGGCTTTTATAAATATCTTCTCTGTTATAACCACCTGATGTTAGACTACAGTCCTTATTGATGCGAATTTGGGAACACTAACGGACAGAATTCATTTCTGGGTTCTGTCAAGTCACTTCCCATTTCAACCACACTGCAGGAGCCAGCCTATGTATCAGTACCTCCTAGCAATACCTACATAGATCATTTTCCCCGAAGGGAGATTGTCATTCTTTTATTAGCACATTTAATTCTCTGTGATTCTCATGTGGGTTAAATACACATCTAATGAAAGCTTACTACACATTTCTGAGCTTTTTTTTTATTAAGGCTAAAGTGTTTTGAAGCACATATGTAAACCAAAGCATAAAGCCATACAAAACTATGAAATGTAATGTACCAATGCATTCATTTTACATTTGAGACAGCTACTGACATCATTGGGAGCTTTATGCCACAAGCCTAAAAGATGTCCCTGTTTGTCATATGAATGGCATGGGAAATAGTCTTCCATGTATTCTGATTATATAGGTCAGTGGATCACAAGTACTTTAATATTGTTCTATTTTAGCAAATAATTTTTCATTGATAGCTTTTTGTCTTTTTGTTTCAATGCACTCCTTATTTCTTAGTTGAGTATGCTTGAAAAGTTATCTTCTGGGCATTCAAGAGTGATTGGCTAATGTCTGAAAGGCAAGAAAACTAGGCAGGGAAATTAATTCACGTTTAGAATGAAGTCTCATTGCATCTTAACATTGATAATAGAGAAGTACCATGACTTTTCAATGCCCAATCTGACTCCAAAGAACAGTGAATTAGAAGTTCTATAAAAGTTCTTTAAAAATAGATTAAATTTAGCATTGATGTGTGGCTAAAAATATTGACACTGTATAATGGAATATAATCTACTAAAATAGTAGCAAATCTCTTTGGATATATTTAGCACAGTATTTCATACTTGATTTATTTATATGCAGTTAAGTGTTATTCATACTCAAATCTTTTAAAACCCTTTCTCCTACTCCTTTTCCTGAGACTAGGTAAGATCTACAGTAAGCCCTCTTTCCCAATATTATAACTATGTCTTTTCACCAGGATAATTTTCTACCTCTGCAATAAGAATGTCAGAATACACTGAAAAAAAGAGAAATTATAAATAGCTAAGGCAAAACAGTAACAAAACCAGGGATGTTAGCTTTTCTAATGCTCTAGAACCTTTCTGAAAATGAACCGAGTCTTGAAAAATGACTTTATATCACATTTATAAAGTAATGTCCTTGGTTTCTGTTTATAGTCTTTTCATTTCCAAGGCTACTGTATGTTGTATTTTAAGATACTTTTGTAATTTTAATATGTAATTTTACATATGTAAAAGAAAAATAGCTAGTTATTTCTCAACTCATTATCAAATAGTACTTTGCATATGATCTACCGAGTCAATAAATACTCATGTTTATCTATCCAATTATTTATTCTTTTAACAAAATGTTGGCTTTTTACAGTTCATGTGGATGTGTTCAAAACTGCAGAGCCTATAGAATACCTCTTCTGAAAAAATAAATACCTACTTAAAAAAAAAAATCTACAAATGTGAGACTGGAGAGATAGATCCGTGGTTAAGAGCACTGTCTTCTTTTTCAGAGAACCCAGATTGATTTCCAGTATTCACATGGTGATTTACAACAGTAGGTACAGTTTCTGGGGACCTGATGACCTCATCTGGCCTCCATAGACAGCAATACAGTATACATACATGTTACATTTGGGGCAGAGCATACATACACATAAAGTAATACAATAAACAAATAGAAATGAAATCTACAAGGGTTTAATAAATAAAAAGAAACACAGAGTTCAAAATTTTAGGTGTAGTTAGAAAAAAAAAGAGTTTTTTAAATTCTAGGGAGAAAAACAAATCCCTATGTGGTCTATGGACCGTTAACCCCATTGGGTCTTACTGAGTATACTCTACTATTCTAACACTCTGCTATAATCAACAATCACAGGCTGCCCCTACCAGAGTTCCTCATCAGAAGTAAATAGTACCAAGGAGATTGTAAATGGAGAGCTATTTTACATTATTACTAAAAGAACTACATCTGCTATTACTTAACCAACTTTATTTTTATATGTACTTTGCCCTTTGTAGAGTTTTACATGTCTCCAAAAGAAATGTCTTTTAAAGCATTCTCATGCTCACTTGATAATGATGTAGTTTAAATCCTTGTAACAGAGACTCTGAGAAATGGAATAACTTAATCCTAACACCAAATCATCCTTAGAGATAAGACAAATTACCCATAGCCCAACATTAAAACCAACCTGCCATTATGTTTAGACACTCGAACTTTCTAACCAATGTGTGCTTATTTTTGTTTCTACTGCGTTCAATCTATATAGTCAATGTACTTTCAACAAAAAGTTCCTTAGTATGTTACAGACTCACAGTATGTCAAGATTGCTTTACTTTTTATAATCTATATTAAAATTAAAAAAATATCTCAGAACTGTAGGTTTTAATAACTTCTAGTAGCTTAAAAGGTCCCAATAGTGTCAGTTCTAAAGATCTACTATAATTAATCTTTGAAATCTTAAAGTTACTTTGTCATTTTTAAGTCTAAATACCATTTTAGATGTTGCTTGGAGGCAATTTATTCATATATCTTCCACTGACTAAAAATTGACTTTTGGTCTCAAACTCAGCTCTCTATAAATATCAGATTACTATTAGTATTCAGACATGCAAACCATAAAAAGATCTAAAATGAAATCATATTTGAAAGACATAATTAAGCTTTCCAAGAAAAGTAAAAATAATTCCATCAACAGAGAAATGTTCGGACCGATCAGCTTTACAACTCAGAGGCTTATTCTGGCAAAATTATCACCCCCAAATCAAACCAAATATACAGCTATTATGCATGGTCCCTGCACGAACATATAATCAAGACCCTTGCATTCACGTCTATTATCGTATGTGTCAGCATTCCCATTATAAAAAACACTTCGCAGAAAGTTTATAACGAAGTTCTAAAACTACTGAGTTCAATTTAGTAAGCAAAATCCTAAGGCACCTTCCCTTCTAGATGGCAGATCTTCAAGAGGAACTTCAAAGGCAACAAAGCCAAAATTACATTTTATATTCATTGCTCAAAAAAAATGTACCTACACTTTCAAACTCACAGTATCCACTCAAAACAAAAACATAAATTAGATCACTGAATTCTTAATACATGCTAAGTACTCAACTGATTGTTTTAGTTAAGCTGAACTATTTTCTTAAATCTGATTTTGTTAAATCTGATGCTTTTAGAAAAGTAATCTTTTTTTTTCTAGATATCTACACCTTGGCTCACATCCACTAAAAGTTTCTTGAACTTTGCCAGTATTTTGAGGTAATTCAGACCCAAGTCTGGTCAGCACCATCTCTTCCTGTGAATACTAGATTTTAAAAAATGACTTAAAGTGTTTAAAAGACACGAGTCAGCAATTGTGACCATTTTGTTTTGACTTTGGGGTTTCTTTGAAGCTGAAGCACAAAGCCAAG